AAAGCAGCTACCATCAACAAATTGGAGGCTTTTGAGATGTGGCTATATCGCAGAATCCTGAAGATACCTTGGACGGCTAGACTGACAAATGAGGAAGTTCTCAGACGCGTTGACAAAGAGCGTGAATTATTTGAAATTAGTGATGGGTTGTTATTTAACTATCTGTTATTTTATAACAATTATTTAGAAATAACATAACGCAACCGTTACTGCTTTTCAAAAATAACAGATATAAAATAACGACACGCAGAGATCGAGTGTTCGTGAAACGAAGTCGGCGCTCTGCACCGCCACGAAATTCGATGCCGCTCGAAGCAATTCCAAAAAACAACTAGTATGGATGGAAAACCTATTATTTCGACAACCATCGATACAGGCGGCGAGATACAACGGACAACGGAGTGGGGTATGCGCTACGGCGCGGCGCGTCGTGTTGGGCTGACAACAGCTTAAAAATAATAGGATATAAAAGAAGCAGCTTTTTTGAAACAGTTGCGGGCATAACGCCTGGCTGTCGAGATAACAGGAGTGGGAAAGGAGCGCTGCTGCATCGGTCGATTGTCGATGGAGGCTCGCAACGGGTTGGAGAATAACGCATCAGTTGTTTTAGCTATGTTGTTTTTTTACCTGTTACGAGCATAACAGAACGGCGTTCGAGATAATCGGAGGTTTGAAACAGGTTGGAGAATAACGCATCAGTTGTTTTAGATACATATTGTTTTTCAACCTGTTACGAGCATAACGGGCGGAGGTCGAGATATTATGGCGCTGTATGTTTCAATACTTTGTTATTAAGTTTCAATATTTAAGTATTTATTTATTCTGAAAAATTTTCAGAATAATATTTTAAGATTTTTTAAAAATGTATACAGGGTGTTTTGAAAAATCTGGTCATTGATTAATCACGATCCTGCTTAAAGCCCTTGACGTAAAAAGCTGATTTTTGGAAAACGGATTGACTTTAGGGTGTAGAGGTGCGATAAGAAGGGATTTTTCGAAACTCAAATTCTAAGGGGGTGAAACCACCCTCAAATATTAGAATATTTTTTATTTAAAAACTGGTGAGTTTTTCGAAAAAACTCTTAAACACGTATATTTTATTTTGTTGTTTTACATATTTTGAGATTTTTACAAAATATATACAGGGTGTTTCATAAAATATGACCACTGAGTAATCACTATTCTGCTTAAACTGCTTGACGTTTAAAGCTGATTTTTGGTAAACGGATTGACTGTGGGGTGTAGAGGTGCGATAAGGAGGGGTTTCTCGAATCTCAAATTCCAAGAGGGTGAAAACGCCCCTCAAATATTACAATATTTATTATTTAAAAAACGGTTAGTCTTTCGGGAAAACGATTGGACACGCATAATTTATTTTGTTTTTTTACATATTTTGAAATTTTTTAAAAAATAATACAGGGTGTTCCAAAAAGTTGAGTAATTGATTAACCACGATTCTGCTTAAACTGCTCGACGTTTAAAGCATATTTTTGGCAAATGTGAGAAAATTTTATCCAGTTTGTATGTTAATGGAAATTCTTGCTTTGCTTTATCATCACCATTACAAATTAATAATTCGATGCGAACGAAGTCGCGGGTACAACTTAACAAGTATAGCTAGAGACGTGAGAAATATAAAATAAGAGACGCCCCCCGATGCGCAGTGGACATCCCACAAATTTGCTTCAATCAGATTTTTCGTAGCGTAACTGCATCTCTCTTCCGCCGAATGCGTTCTCTCTCTATCGTGTGCGCGACCGGTGCTATCCCCAAGTCTCTTCCTATATTTGTCAAACTGTACATGCTAGTTTAAGTGTAAAATTAATTCGAACTCTAGTGTGTAGTTGGTTTACTTATGAAGAATATACTACACATTTTCTTATATTGCTATTTTTTGACCGCAAATGGTAAAATCATAACGAAGAGCTTCTCGCCCGTCGAGTGAGATGCACCCTGTACACTGCTACGCAATTCAGAATCTACGCGGATCGAGGGGTAGGGCGTAGGTAGATCGGAATTTATAGATATAGACGAGTGGCGGCATTTTGGCTTTTTTATATCGCAATTTGTAAACAGCGCTTATTTGTAAACAACCCCCGTTTTTAGAGAGGTATTTTAGATAACAATCGATATTTAGAAATGTTATGACACCCTGGAAATACTACCACCGAGCACGTCATTGTTGCAACTGCGTTAATACGCCTGGCGGTGACCGCCTCATATTCTTTCAGATATTTAGCAATAAAATAAAGAAACCTGTTATTTTTAAGCTGTTATTTTAAGCTGTTTTTTATAAATAACTATAACAGTTTCAACTGTTATCTAAAAATAACAGTTTTGCCCATCACTATTTGAAATGACCAAAAAGAAAAAGACCGCATACCTGGGGCACATAATGCGAAACCCCAAATATCAATTCTTGCATTTGTTGATAGAAGGCAAGATCGAAGGCCGGAGGGGTATCGGAAGGAAGAAAATGTCTTGGCTGAGGAATATTAGACAGTGGACAGGGCTACTCGATGTTCAATCGTTAATACACACCGCCCGGAATAGAGAAGCAATGGAAAATGTTATCGCAAACATCCATTAATGGATCTGCACTAGAAGAAGAAAAAGATGCTCTAGAAAAATGAAAATCTATCTCTTGCCTTGATCTAATTTTACTTTCTTTATCTATAATTAAAAACTTCAAATTATGATGACACTAATTCGTTTTTAATTTTAAGAAATATACAAATCAATATTATTTACAATACTAAACAATGTGCTGTTAAAAATAAACTATTAACTAACAGGAGTAAGTCATTAATTAAGTAGTTACCGAGGTCGAGGTATCTGTTAAAAGTTGATGCCAACGAGGTTGTAAAACTAAATTTTCGGTGCTATTTAAACTTTCCCGTAGAATTTTTTTTATTAAATTTAACTACTTTTAGAAATAAACCGAGGAATAAACCTCATATTAAGAATAAAAATAATAAACCGAGGAATAAACCAATAAAAAATCTTTTACAACTCCAGTCAATGACCTCAAAAATAATCTTTGTTTCAAAATGAGTAGGTACAACATAACAGCTGTCCTATTTAGTGACAGGGATCCATAGATGATAAAAGTAACAGGGATCATATAAATAGATAAGCCAACAAGAGTACCGAAAAATACATACCAGTTATTTTTTATATACAAAAGACATCCCCGGGGATATGCCTAATTAGATATTGTAGTCATTGTCACTTGGTACCATTATGAGAAAATCTCGATGAAAATCTAATTCAGATATTATAAAAAATTCATAAATTAATAGAAGAATCAGTTATTATGAATTTTGAAGAGTCCTGAAAGGTGTTTTCAATTCTCTCTGGCTAGTAATTAATATTACTAGGTGATGTTTAAAACAAGAAAATCTTGGAAATGTAAAGTATCTAGAAAATACAATATAATCTATCATCATTAAATGTTTTTAAGTTCTCCCAGACAATCTGTTGTTGATATTTCATTTCACTTTAATATAGTGTTATTGCAATTTGATTACAATTAAATGTTATTCATGGTAATTATTTATATTAGAGGCTTTATGTTTAATTACCTCACTTAGAATAAAATTGATACAGTCCTTTAATCATTCTCAATTAAAATAGTCTAATTTAGTTTAAACAAAACACTGACAAATTTATAAAACAGAATTAAAATCATACAGGAAGGCCCATTAGTGCGAGGTGCGGGGAAGTCCAATATCGTTGTTGTTGACAAAGATATGAAAAACGTTTTATATGTATAAATATTGCATGGTTTATAAAAATGTGCATATTCCGAAAATATTTTCGTAATTTGAAATTATTGTCTTTTCCAAGCCAACTAAGTATCTTATTAATTTATCTACAAATTTCTGACAGTTATACATACATTTTTTCCACCATTACAGATACATTTATAATTTCTATTTATTTTTAATTTGAGAATTGATCCGCACATCTATTAATAAATCAAATTGAGTGCTTCTTTTGTGAACTTTGTCATTTTCTATCAAAATAATTTTAATTACTTATTATGTAAGAATTAGATCTAATTATATGTATACATATAATAGATTGGAATAAATTATATATGTTCCAGCTAGATAGGTACAAACTATTTTTAAAGTTGAAATGTAATTTAATAATGTAGGTAAACACATAGTTTCTTTTCCAGGTGGATAACTTTGAAATTTACTTATAATTTTAGTACAAAACTTCTACTTAAATTTGTACAAAGAAAATATATTTATCATACCGACGATGTTAGGGAGGAGACGTGGATCGAAACGTCCCGACGCCGGTTTATATTGGGGTTGGACAACCCGCTGCGCTGGCCGTCTAGTCTCGAAAATAAATCTCTCTTTATTCAAAAATAAAAGTACCGACTTACCAGACTATTAGGACACTTCTGGGGGTTTCAGTCGGGTTTTCAAGTTCATAATTTTGCATATTCATAAGTAAAAAACAATGAAATATCTCACGATTACCTGACCGTACCTTTAAAGATTACTCAGCCGATTTTAAAGCTGAAGGACGTTTATGAAATAACCAGAATACTATGCACCATGTTATGATTGAACGTTAGAAAGCAACTCGTAAAGAAATCAAGAAACATTCGCGCAAGAAAACCCGACTTAATTGAATAATTGCACAAAACAGCTCATCCACACTGTGCCTCAATTACCTTCTAATTATAAAATAAAATCTTTCAATTATCTTTATAATTGCATTGTCTGAATTCTTATCAAATCACTTCTTTCCTCAAGTGTTGTCTATGTGATAAATAATTAGAATTATTTTGGAATTGTATTTACTGTTATATAAAAATGCTATGTTAGACATATTTTAATAATGTTTTACGTCTTTTTATACGACTGTAATATATCGTATGCTATTAGATTAACCGTAAACTGATGCTACGGCCAGTGAGTGAATCCTAAAAATATCTCTTTGAAAACTAAACTAGTAATTCTTCTAAATATACGTACCCACAGAAAGTTGCAAGACAGTCCAGTGTTTTAAGAAATCTAACCTCCAAAGCACTTCACTGAGGATAACTGTATATTGCACTGCACTTTATTTATGAAATTCACTCGATTTCCTAAAGAAATGTAAACGAAATTGCCGATTGTTTGGATTGCAAATTTGCTTGTTGTGGACAACGCGAATCCCCAAATGTCACAGCACGAACTGCCATAAAAAATTGACATGAGGAATTCGAAACGACGCGTGGCGTTATCTGACGGTCAACATCTGCATATAAAATTTTTGGAGGGGGCATAATTAGGGAAAACGAATTTCTGTTGGAATTTTAATTTTTTTCTGGGCGACTTTGTTTAAATGTAATCAAAATTAGTTTATTAATGAATGTCAATTCTTACATAATTTAAATTTCATAGATGACATTTTACTAGGTTGTTTTTGGTTATATATTTGGTTAATTTTATTATATTTTGCCCATCAAAACGCGCTGATATTTCTGTTGATATTTTGATTTTTTTTTCTTAGCGACTTTGTTTAAATGAATTAGAATTTGTTTATTAAAGTAATTACTTAAATTTCATAGATGAGATATTTATCAGGTCGTCTTTTTAGTAGTGTTTTATTAGATTTTGCGCATCATAGCGCTTTTAATAGGTTTAATAGAGCGGATATTAAATTAGGGACATTTAAATTATCATAATTTTTATTTATTATTTGTACATCACAACTGTAATACATACAATACTTTATCAAAGAATGAACTTATATATCACCAAAACTTTTTGTGACATGCATATTATACAAAACATTTCTGAAAAAAACCTTATATTACAGACTAATTTTGAGGTGTTTAAAAATTATGAACTATTCATTATTTCTAGTTTACATATGTTCAAGGAGTTTCTCAATGTTCCTTAATAATGAACAAAGGGTATATGAGGTATATTTTTTAAAAGTATAAATACCGTATCAACGAAAAAACCGGCATCCAGTTAGCTTTAAAATAACAATTCATGACATTACCCATATAATTTTACATATAAAATGACACTAAGCACTCTTCATTTTCAAGCCATCTCTGACGCGTTTTTTTTTTCGATCATATGGTATTAAAGAACTATTTGAGAATATCCATGATCCATAGAAAAAAGAATGTACGTCTACAAGTTAAATATTTTATAAATAGTTACTTAAAGATATACATTATACTTTCTGTAAAGTTGTTCTCTTGTGGGAACTTTAAATTTGACTATGCTTCTAGAAACTGACCTAAAAACTCGAACAACTTTACAAAAAGCCCGTGACCCTTCTAAACACATTCAAAAACAAAAACATAACAATTTTCTATTCATTTCTAACGCGTTATTTCCACGCCTGCTTTAACGCTTTTCGAGCCGCTAATTTTTTAGTAACAAAAGTTGCTATAATTAGTGCGGACAACACTAAAACAATCAGTTTATGGTCAAAGTCTTCTTTGAGCACGTCGAACGTCTTGGACGGCGCCACTCTGGTGTAGAAAATGTCCAAGCCGTGCACTAGAATGTGACTGGTCGATTCCAGCCTCGCAGGCGCCACTTCGATGCCCCGTATACGACCGAGGGTTTGGTTATAGTTAATTATTGCTTCGGGATGCATTGGGATTTCAGGCATGTAAGGAATACAGCTTTCTTCGGGTCCACAAGGCATATTTTCGAAACGTGGTTGCAGTAACAGCCACGGTATCTCCAGAACGGCCCCTGAACTCATTGCGACTAGTAAAAATTTGTTGGTGATACCCCTTTCGGTAAGTGTCACAGCCATTTTAAGGGGTACCAGAGGTAAAATATACGACTGGCTTTGAATATGTGGCAACTGACTCACAGCAAATGAACTAAATGCAGTACTGTTACTTTGTAAGTGTCCTTCGTAAAGTTCTAGAGCTGCTAATTCAGTTCTTCTAAATCTCTCATTGAAATAAGAATAAACAAGCCAATTCTCAGAGTGGACTAGATGGACAGGACCTTTAGCTCGCTTATGAGAGGTTCCATATACTACCAAGCCTGTAACTCCATCTATGAGGTAAATACTTAACACATTATGATGCATTGGATCAGGTGAAATGGTTGCTACAGCTAATAAATTAGGGTTGACATATTTATAGTATACTGAACGGTCATACAATACTTTTCCTTGTGAATGAACCTGTTCATTCTGTGGTTTAACTCCAAGTGCAACAATTTTTGAGGGTTTTAAGTCTATATCCCATGACTTTTTAACTACCATTTGGTTTTCGGTACTATATTTTAATGTAAATCCAGTTAAAATTGCAGTTTCTGAATTTGCAGTATAGAGAAATATTGTAGAAAAATGGTCCTTTATGACAGATACAGCATCTCTGGGATAGGCATACAATTCATTATCTTGTGATAGAACAAGCAGTGGTTTTAAAAAGTTCTTATCATGTTGTAAAAGTAAAGTTGCCTGAGATATTCTGTATGGCAGTTTTTGGATACCTTTATCAGAATATCCAGTTATTGGATCAAATTCAAAAAGTATTCCATTGCCTGTAATTGTATCTTGAGCAAGTAGAATACAGTGTGCCGGCAAGGGAGCAAATTGGGCAGTTCTCTGAACATAAAGTAACATTTGTTCTTGTCCGTTAAGCCCCAAAAAAGGTTGTATGTTTGGTAATCTGTAACTCCAAGCAATAGAACCACTTAATGTGTCTAGTGCAAAGAGTTTTCCTGCTCTGGTAGCAACCACAATAATTTTATGAAGACCAAATTCATCTCTTACTAAACCACTATTTTGCAGTAACTTATTTCCAAAGACTAGATTGTAAAACTGATTGATCTGAGTGGAAATTCTGTGTGAAAACATGCCAAAAATATCGTTCTCATTATCAAATTCATGTTCAATAGAAGCATCCAATTCAGATATTGGTAACTCAAAAAATTCGGTAGCCACTATATTGCTTAAAGCTTCTTCTCTACTCCATAATATTTTAGCTTCAGGAAGTCTAACAAGCAATAAAGCATTGTCAGTTGTACTTAAAAGTAAATCGGATGATGAGCCTCTGTTTTGAGCTCCTAGAATTATTGGGGCTCCTAAACCTAGGGGGTAATCTAAATCAACTGAAAACTCATCTGCCCCTGTTTGAAAATCTTTGACCTTAATACGAATTAATTTCTCTTTATTATCATTTGCTTCCAATTGATAAATTAGATCCTTACCATTGCCAACCACATTAACTGCGTTTGGCATTAAATCAAATGGTTTAATTACTATATTTTCATCAACAATAGATGCTAACTTAGCTATATTGTTAGACAACATTAAAAATGAAGGAGTTTTATGTTTATACTCTATTAAGATTATTTTTCCAGCTTCACTCTCTATAAAGGTATCTAAAGGTTTAGTAATAAACTTTGAATTTTCTTGATCCAAGTTAATGAAATGCAATTGATTTGAACCTACACATACATAATGTAATCCAGCAAAAACACAGTTTGAGATATTAGTCAACCATGGTGCAGAAACTATTCTAGTTACACCTTTTAAAACTCCATTTTCATGGTCGATAAAAGAATATGTAGTGATTTCTAAATGGGATCCAGTTATTGGCACTAGATGTAATATTTTTCCATTGATAATTGTAAAAGCACTCGGTACCGTACGTTCTGCATTTATAACCCACTCTGCTAGAAGTGTCCCTGTATTTATATTCCAAGTACGAACTAACCAATTATTGCGAACACCAGAAACAGTCAATATGTCTTTATTAACATGTAATAATTCTAGTTGATAGTTACTCGGATCTTCTAAAATCTGCCTCCATTGAATATCTCCGTTATTTAAATTTAAAGTGGCCAGAACGTTTTCTTCTGTAGCGACAATAATTCGCTTTGCTTCAAAGCTGACAAACTTTACTTTTCCTACAAATGATCTTTTCCAGTCGAACTTTCCTACTTGATCCTCATATAAGGCCACTGTTAGATGAATTAGAATTGTTAAAAACACTTGTATTTTGTATATTGATCGAAAATTGGCCATTTTAGTTACATAGGTCTGACAATTTAATATAACGAATTATAACCTTAAATTTTGAGGAATGACAAGGCACAGTTGTCAATTTAAAACCACGTTGCCACATTTAATCACCTTTCTTCTTTAACTAAAGGTGGCACAATATTTTGTAGCAACAAATTTATGGATTATGTTGTCACTTAAACTGCCCCACCTCAAAATGTCAAATGCGAAATGTGTCAAATGGTGTCAAAATTATAATTGTAAACATTAGTGTATTATTTAAAAGGCTTTTGTTAATATATTTTTAAAAATAAATTAAACTTGATTAGGAAACATTGGGGAAACAGTTAAGTATTCGAAGTTGAAGAAGATGGCAAGCAATAAGAAGATGGAAGAGGGATACGAACATATCAAAAATGCCGAAAAGAGGTAGACTTGAACTATATTTGTAATTTTTTTTTACTTAAATTCTTTATTTTCAGTTTAAAAACGTCGTTATTAAAGTGGCGTCCAGATTACGAAAATGCTGCCGATGAATATAATAAAGCAGGTTTGTTTTCATATTGCTTTAAATCATGTAGGTACATATTTTTAAACACTATATATTTTAGCGACGTGTTTTCGTAATGTAAAAGCTTATCAACAGTGCAAAGAGTGCCTTCTGAAAGCTGTAGAGTGTTTCAAAGAGAACAGAGCGTATCCTTTTTTATAGTTCTCTCAATAATGTTTTTGTCATAATTTATATTTACTTAATGCTAGATAGAGTTTTTCATGCAGCAAAGGCACTTGATCAGTGCATTTTGGTGTCCAAGGAGATGGGAGACATTCGAGACATTTACAAAATGGCAGAGCGTGCCGCAAATATGTTTCAAACTAATGGAAATGCTGATTCTGCTGTTTCTACACTAGAGAAGACTGCTAAAATTCTAGAGTCTCAAGTTCCAATTGAAGCTTTAAATTTATACAAGCAGGCTGCAGAAATATCAGTGGTATAAACATTTTTAAATTTTATATATTAGGTGTATGAAATTTACTTTTTAGATACAAGATAATCCAAGACAAGCAGCAGAGCATACCAGTAAGGTGGCCAGATTGCATATAAAATTATTACAGTAAAGTTTAAACAATATGGGGGAGTAAGCTATAGAGTAAATGTTATGTTAATTTTAGATATGATTTAGCAGCTGATGCTATAAGAAGAGAGATAGGGTTTTATCAACAAACTGAAAATCAGAGAGCTTTAGGACGAATTGTGGTGGGACTTGTTTTAGTTCAGTTAGCTAGAGGAGACATTGTCGCTGCAGAAAAAGCCTTTAAAGAGTGGGGTACAAATATATGTTTTTTTAATATTTCATTTCTCATAATAAATCTATTTCATTTTTAGGAAGTTACTGTGAAGCACCAGAGATACAAAATTTGGAGATGCTCCTTCAAGCTTACGATGAGGAAGATCCCGAGACTGCTAAAAGAGCACTGAATGACTCTTTTATTAAAAACATGGACGTGGAATATGCAATTTTGGCAAGGAATGTACCACTGCCGCAAGGGGGTGTGGTAATTCAAAAGAAACCCATCATTGAAAACGCCGCTGATGAATATAAGCCTGTCAGACCTATGACAGACCAAGTAAGGATTTAACTTGCATTATGATGAATAAATTCATGAAATACTAAAATAATTTCTAGTACACTCCAACTGCTAGTTATCAAGGAAATAATGGGGACGAAGATCATCAAGAAAAAAGCAGAGATCAACCAGCAGATGATGAGGATGAATATGCAGGTGGTTTATGTTAAAAAATCCCAATTTTATTCATCACATGCTTGATCTAACAAAAAATTAGAACCTGTTTCAGAAATATAGGTCTTAATTCATAATTGTAAAATGTTTAAAGGTTTTTATAACTATTAGAGGGTACTCTGTTTATACCTAACGCATTTTTTTTGTGTTATGCTTTTTGAAAATTAAGTGAGCTGTAACCTTTATTTATTGACAAATTTCAACAATTATTATATAAGGGCTTCAATGATTGCTAAGCTTAATTTTAATTATAGTCCAGTAAATAAGGACAAGAAAAGACTCAAGTCTCAGCTTAATTCGTCGACCATAACTTTTTAGGTGGATTGTTTACCTTTTGGGGAGTAGTTTTAGGTTTAGGGCAAAATTTGTAGCACCGTGCTCGGCCAGCTTTGGCTGAAAAAAACGTCCCAAATGGCCGAAAAATCATTTTTTCGCAAATTTCCGCCAAAATATGCAATTTACAAATTTTTTCTTGGAATAAAAAATGAAGTTCATTATCTACAAAAAAGGTCCTGACACTTTTTTTCGTAAAGTTCGGGGAAAACGCTTAAAAACGGCTCTAAAGGGTCAAAGAACGGGGTTTCCGGCAATATTAACCGAAATATGGCATGTAGATGATTTTCATGATCAAATGGAAGATTGGGTCCTTAGCTAAAAAATGATCCTGACACTTCTTTTCGTAAAGTTCGTAAAAAGAAACCAATTCGACTATTCGTAATTATGCATGTATCGGAAATCCCAAAAAAGCGGAAAAGGCCACTCACTAATAGTTGTTTTTTTATTAAAATATGTAGAATGTTTAGGAGGGGAGTTAATCATCGCGACCTTACAGATCTATTGTGCGTTCCCCTTTTTTGAGTTATAACTCATCATACAGTCTCAGGGCTTTAACAAAAGCCAGTATCTGAGACGGCTCAACAGAGGCCAGCTCTCCATCCTTAACATCAGCCGTACCAAAGTTCATGGCACGAACCGTCGTCGTCTCGGCGCACTCAGTGATAAGGTGTTCTGGTGTTTTCCCATTTTCCCCACAGAATCTGCATTCGCCGTTGTTTCTCAGCTTCAGCCTACTGAGGTGTTCGTTGAGGAGACAGTGTCCTGTTAGAAACCCCGTGACAATCCGAAGATTGTTTTTATAACATAAATCAAGGAAAATCTTTGACTTCGTAAGTTCTGAGGAACTTTTTCGAGTGTCTTAGACCGTTGGAAGACACCCATTCCAGGTTACGGATGGAGTCTTCCAGATTCTTTATTTCCGCTTTTAGTTGGTTCCCGCTTGGAAAACAGAACGGTTCTGGTCCAGTTAGTGGAGTGTTCGCTCCTTTTCTAGCTAGATCATTTGCTTTTTCATTGCCTTCTATCCCTTGGTGAGGCACCTAGTAATGGCACCATACTAATGAGGCACCCAGAGTAGGAGGACTTATTTTCTTTGCCTAATTTATTGAGCTTCTCTAGGCATTCTTTGACCAACTTCGAATTGATGGTTACTGAGTTGATCGCGTTTAGTGCTGCTTGACTATCGGATAAGCTATTTCCTGTTTTCGATAGTTCCTGTCTAAGATAAATAATTGTACGCATCTTTCGATAGCGTAAATTTCTGCCTGAAGGATGCTGGGGTATGTGCCTATTGGTTCGGAATATTTAGTTTTCGGCCTAAATACTCCTATCCCTGCTTTGTTTTTCGAAGCATCAGTATACCACGTTATGGTATGGTCTTTTACATGCTGGGCAAACGTTTCTTCCTTCCAAACCTTTTTATTACTTAATACTCCAGTAAGGTGTTTCTCAAAGTTGTAAATTCTTGGTATGTCATCCAATGGGAGTTGGAGAAGTGGAAAATTCTTCCAGTACTGTTTCCGTCAATGACCATTCTAATCATTGTCGCATTGGCATATAACTACCGACGACAATGTGCAGTGGTGTTAGCTCTAGAATGACCTCCATGGCTGCTGTTGGACATGTTCTCATGGCACCTGTTGTATTAAAATGTGATTAAACAAATACTTTAAAGTTTGTGAGTTGCTTATAGAGACTCAACTGTTAAGAAAAAACTGTTAAAAAAAATCTTGACAAATAAGACAATATTATTAGTGAAAATATGAATAAGTTTGACAAAATCTCAAAATTTTTGGGCCAAGGATTATTTGCCCGGTTTTTTATTATCATAAAATATGATAAAATTCAAACAAGTTCCAAAATTTGATAGCTGTTGATTCTCCCTTTTAAACGAACTTTGAATCATCAAAGAATATAAAATTTTAGCCGAGTTATTAAACAATTTGTCCTATCAATCAATGATGCGCTTATGAAATCTATCTTCGGAGCGTTAAGACTTGAAAATTGAGGGATCTTCGAGGCGGAATATCTGGAAAACTACTAATTCTACGTAAAAATGATAATAATCATTTTTGTAGGTAATTACCTAAGCTTCATTTTTTTACTTCAAGAAAAAATTTGTAAATTGCATATTTTCGCAGATATTTGCAAAAATTTTCAATTTTCCCCCCTAAAACTACTCTCTAAAAAGCAGGGTTGGCATGATTTAAATCATGATTTAAATCGTGATTTAAATCAAGTGATTTTTTTAATTTTAATCATGTGATTTAAATAAAAAAAAATAAATCTATTGCAACTTTATAATAAATAAAAAAGGACTGTAAAAATTATAAAAATCTGTCCTAGAAGACTATAAAAAAATATTTATATAACAGATATAACAGATAAATCGAAAAATAATTGTAAGTTTTATAAAACTATATAAAAATATCTATTCATCACTTTAAATGTTGAACCGATTTTTGAAGCAATTTCGTGTGAATTCAAAGACCGCTAAACGCAGGTATTTATTTAAAAATTTATGCATAAGTGACAAAAATTCGCTGTTCGAAGTTCGAATACATAAATCATTCGCAGACTAGTGCAGAACTAGGTTCTTCTGATATAGATACTATATCTTCATTCCCGAAAATCTATAATCGTTGTCAGAAAATATATGTTGTTTTATATTTTTTTTGAAACGTTATGTTTCTAAATTCTTACCGACATTTTGATTTGCAGTAAGTACTTTACACTTGACATTAGATAATACCTACTAATTTCATTCTCGACTTAAGACTATTTCCGAACAACAGTGTTATTAAGAGTAGAAGTTATACTTTTTGACGATGCTGTACATTTGAAGTGCCATCGTAAATCTATTTCGACGTTACAAGGAGGCACAAAAAGTATACTTTTACTCCGAATAAAACACTATTTTTGTTTAAATATTACAAATAATTTTTTAATCAATTTCAAACATTGCAAATAATACAAACAGTAATCGAGAAACAATTTGTACACTCGTTGAATTTGACAATATCAGTTTAATAATATATTTTTGTACTTTTGTGCTTAGGCGTAATAGTGCTTTGCTTTTATGCCTAGCCGTTAAAATGACAAAAATTAATACTTTCGAGACGTTTGAAAAAAAATCCTTTTGATCTGAAGCGAGCGACTTTTTTTGCGGAATATATTGGTGACCGTGGAAAAATGACACGCGCCGTAGAATTATTAATTTATTGGTATCGCTCAGAGTTATAAAGATTTAGCCATTTAGGATAGGAATTTAATTGGAAATAAGTCCTAGTCATTTGGAAATCCGATTTAAATATTGTTTTGAATTAAAATCAAAAAAATCTGATTTAAATAAAAAAAATCTGATTTTTTTGATTTTTTTTTAAAAATCATGATTTTTTCCAACCCTGCTAAAAAGTACACACAGTCCGCCTGAAAAGTCGCGGTCGACGAACTAAGCCGTGGTTTCACTCTTCATTAACTGGACTATTAGTAATTTATCGATAGTGTTTTTTTAATGTAAAATGTAAATAGGAAATGTCAGATAAATGTCTGTTTTGGTGCTGTGGTAAATGTGATGTTGAATAATATTTATTTGAAAGTTATATGTATTTTTAATAGAATATAAACACTGTCTGTTGAACTTTAATTTAGGCCTAAATTATTACTAGAAATATTATTTTAAATCAATTGTTTTCATTTCTAATCACTATTAGATAGTAAAGATATATTCCAGGTGTAAATTTATGGTGTAAAGTATATAAAAAATAAATACATTTTAACATTTTTTCTTCCTTTATTATTTTTAGGGCAGTTTTATTTGTTAATGTCATAAAAAAACATTAACTACTAGATACAATGGAGAAAAAATATACTATTAATATACGATACGATCGAAAAAAAACGGCGTCAGGGTTGTCTTGGAAATGACTGATTTCCAAGCAAACTGGACCTATTTTTCGATCATATGGTAATGTTTATGTACTAAAACATTTATATAACAATATGTATATCAAATAGTTTTTTTAAATATTGGTACACAATATTGAGACTGATATAAAACAACAGAAAAAAAATTGTTTTAAGTTTACACAAATAAAAAAGGTGATTAACCTGTTCCGAGTGTTTATTTTCAATAAACTTCACTCTTTTAATCGCTTTGTACATTCTTAATACTTCACTAAAAAAATCCAGATTAATTTAATCTGCAACAATATATAATATAGGTATAAACATTTATATAAATATTGTTTAATAAAAGCAACAGATCACAAAGTAATAAAACCAACCACCAGTTTTGCAAATCGATCGTTTTTTTAAAAATATCACCATTGTAGATAATTTAGATCAAATTTATTCACCATATTATTAGATTATATTTAAGGATAAAACTACTTTATTTCGCATTTTAAAAATATATTTTTTGTTCATAAACTAATGCAAATGTTTGAATTATACAGGGCGGTCCAAATTACATTCGGGAAACTTCGGCACCATATTCTGCAGATACAGTAAAAAAGTTGATATAAAATTATATCCTAAAATGGTTCGTTTGGTTTTGGTTTTCGTGGTAAAAATCTCTACGAGCAATCGTTCTCAAGATATTTGGAATGGAAATTATCAATACATTACTAACAAAAAAATAAACATGCATGTTGACTACATAGTTATTTGACTGAAATGAACAATTTGGGGAACAACTTAAAAAAAGAATGGGAAATGAACAACTTATATTGTTGGGAAATGAACAACTATAATTTATTTATTTATTTATTAAGCGGTGGGCGAAAAACCGTATTTTTAAATACGGGCGATATTTCGCTCGAGCGATCGCTCGGTGATTGCAATCGCTTGAAATTCTCGATTATTGAAATTAATCAGTTTTTTCCATCACTGCTATTGACATCAAAATCAAATTTCTTATGCCCAAGAATACCCAGAGACCAATTTTCATTCAAATATCGACCTTAGTTCCGAAATTATTTGGAAAAAATCCAAAAAGAAATGAATTTTCTACATCCTGTATCTCCGAAACTAAGCATTTTAGGGTATACATTTATATTAGAGATGAGCAAAACTGCGATTGTGATTTATAAATCGCTGTGACTGTAAACTGCGATTGCGATTTTGCTATTTTTAAATTGGTACGCTCTAAACTGGGAAGCTCGATCCCAAAATTTTCAATAAAAACAGAATAAATAGAGGAATCATTTTTTTACAAAAACTTACAAAGAAACTGTTGGGTGTTTTGATGCCATGTGCCTTTTAAAATTTGTAGTGCTTATTTTTATATTTTTGCTGCACATATATTGCACTTAAAATTTTCATCAATTACCAAAAAAAATCCACAAATAACTTAGTTTCCTTTTTTTAAAAAATGTTGAAAATATTCGAATGTGCTGTTAGACAGTCTGTAGGTATACTAACGAAAAATTTATGATAAAAAAGATTGCCGCCAACCTTAATTCAGATAACTGAAAAAAAAAAATTTTCTTTATGTAAACTCAAAAGAAGCCGACGTCGACGGCTTTAATACGGCCAGTCCAGTGCAAGTGCAAACTTTCGAACTTTTAGATAAACAAAAGGACAATATCACATTTTAATATATTTGAAATTTCCCTAAAATGAAAAAATTGATTGTAAAGGATGTAGGTATTTAAATTAACATAGCAGCCGATCCACACCTGTTAGTTAATATTCAGAAAATTATATTATATTATGGATTGTTATAAAAATGTTTATAATAATATAATATACAGGGTGGTCCGACCTGTATTCGGGAAACTTTGGCAGCATATTCTACAGATCAAAATAAGTAAAAACAGTCGTATAAATGTATGTCGTAAAATGCTTAGTTTCGGAGATACAGGGTGTAGAAGTTTCATTTTTATTTCGATTTTTTCCAAATAATTTCTGAAGTAACGTCAATATTTGGTTGAAAATTGGTATCTGGGAGTTTTGTGACACGAGAAATTTGATTTTGATGTCAAAATTACTCCTATTTGTTGAAGAGTAATAACTTTTCAACCGTACCTGTATAAAACCACTGACTAAAAAAATATACATTTCCATGACTTTTTATGTAAAAAATGTCTCTTGGTAAAAATCGCTACGAGCAACCATTCTCAAGATATTTAGTAGAAATAGCCAATACATGTCATTATTGACAAAAAATAAGCACACGTTGAGTATAGTTATTTGACTGAAATAATAAATTTTTATTTTTTTAATTTAATCATAAGTTTTTCTGCGAAAAAATGATGATTAAACAGTTTCTTTTGAACTTTTGACACAAAAAGATTTCAAATTTATGATTTCAGTCTAATAACTATTTAGTCAACATGTTTAATTTATGTCAATGATGACAGGTATTGATAATTTCAATTCCAAATATCTCGAGAACCAACCAATCGTAGCGATTTTTACCAAGAGACCTTTTTTATGTAAAAAAAGTCGTAAATGTATATTTTTTTACTCAGTAGTTTTATACAGGTCCCGACGAAAAGTTATTACTCTTCAAAACAGTTAAGACACCTGTAGGTGGCGCCACCTACAAATAGGAGTCACATTGACATCAAAATCAAATTTCTCATGTCAAAAAACACCCATCTACCAATTTTCATTTAAATATTGACGTTACTTCAGAAATTATTTGGAAAAAATCGAAATAACAATGAAACTTCTACACCCTGTATCTCCGAAACTAAGCATTTTAAGACATACATTTATACGAAGTTTTTTACTTATTTTTATCTGCAGAATATGCTGCCGAAGTTTCCGGAATACAGTTCGGACCACCCTGTATAACAAAATATAATAAATAAAAAGGGCTGAAAAAAGTATCCATATTAATAGAGTTTCTTTTTCGTACTCTATGTCTTCTAGTAAATAAAGGATAAAAATAGATAATTTTTTATAATTTGAATCCAAAACTGTAATTATGAATCATTTGTAAACAATCTAAATTATACCTGCGAGCAACTGTAACTATAATAATTAGTCATAACCGAAAACAAGAATTTTTAACCTTTTCAATCCATAATTATATTATAAATCTAAAACTATTATCAAAATTTAAAACTAAAAAATTATATATGTTATGCTGTATATAAACATAAGCCTATTTTCCAACGCTTCATAAAAATGACGGGGCCCTGATTGCGAATGTGATTTTGCGATCTAGTCTAGGCCGATGTGTTGGCCGCAATATTGCGATTTTCGTTAGCCGCTCTTCGTTGGCGTGCAATCGCAAATCGCAGCCGCAATCGCTGCGATTTTCGTTCAGCTCCTCGTTCGCCTGCCCACTGTCGTGTTGATGACGCGCCGCCGCCGGCCGGCGCGAACGAGAATCGCAATGTTTTTCGAGCGCTGCGATTTTCGTTCCCAGCTCTTCGTTCGCTTGCTCAGTGCCGTGTCGATGCACCGCCGGTGCGAACGAAAATCGCAATGCTGGGATTTTCGTTCGCGTGCCCACTGCGATAGCAAATCGCGACTGGTGTAATATTGGTTGCCTAATATCCAAAATCGGCAGATAGATGTTTCAATCGCAAGTCGCATTTTGCTATGGAAAGGAATCGCAGGTTGCGATTGCGAATTTACAATCTTTTCTGCTCATCTCTAATTTATATGAACTTCTTTACTTATTTTTATCTGCAGAATATGTTGCCGAAGTTTCCAGATTACAATTCAGACCACCCTGTATAATGAATAAATTGTGAATCTAAATTACCCTTTTGAGTTCCATATGTTGAATCCTAATCTCATAAACATGATTAATATGGCAAAGAATGAGAAAGGTGGTTATACGTTTCAAGTTTTTTTTTCAAATAGAACATTCGAAATTTAATTATTTAGACTTTCCCATAATTCGTCATCGCCCCATTTATCGTCGCAAGTTTTTTTTGGCTCCTTTTGTTTCTTCTCTTTTCTATTGGTAGGCTTGGATTCCGTGGGTGATGTAGTAACACTGTTGCTCGCCGAATAATCTCTGAAACAGCAACACGGTTTCATTCAATAGTGCAATAAAATTTATCCATTTTAACTTTTTACCTATAATCCGATTGATATCCTCCAGTGGGTGTATCATTTTGATATCCCCAACTGGAATCCCAATTTTGGTTAGATGACTTTGGACTGGAAGCTCTGAAAATCATTGAAAAGTAAATACATTGACTCTTCTGTTACTTATAAAGTCTGTACAATGAGTCAGGGAAAATTACCACAGATAACATCCAAAAAATGACAGGAAATATAATTTGCCTGCGAATTAAAATGACAAGACAATTCCACAACTGTCACTGTCATGTATCCTCTCGATGTCAAAAGTTGACATATCTTGTCATTCTATTTAGAGTGTCATTTTCTATCAAATAAAGTAACAAAATACCGAGGGTGCCATTTAAAAATCAAAAGTTGTAGTCATTACTGGTGAAACAGGAAGTGACCGAAAACAATTGAATACCGTCAATCAATCCTAATTTATGTCATATACTAATATACCGAATCTCGATTTTTATCTGAAAAAAAAAAAATATAAAAGGTATACAGGGTGGCGCAACTCATTCGCCTCGGTTGATTATACGAAAACGGAAAGATGTAGGAACTAAATATTTTATAGGTATATGTGGGAAGGCAATATGCACAATTTAAAATTATTTTAAAATGTACAGGGTATGTCAGAACTAAGATTCACACCAAAGTTATATTTTTTCTTATGGAACACCCGGTATTTTATTTCATATTTGGATCCGTCAACAAAAAATAAGGCATTTATTATAAGGGTCAAATATGTTTACAAGCTTTGGTTTGTGAGATATTTAGAGATATTTAAATTTTCATGCTATAATAAAAAAGATTGTCAACACCCTGTACATTGCTTTTCAGAATTACTTCTTGCGTTGACTTTTAAGCCATAGAAATAAACTTTACTGAAAATTTGATTGCTTCGTTTAATGTATACAGGGGTATCAAAAATTGCTGGTTTATTTTAGATATTTTAGATATATTAAAAAAATTGTTATTTCAAATACAACACCCCGTATTTTTTTAAAATAAATCGAAGCAGATTCAAAAGCTCTTTCAAACTATATTAGCGTTTCTTATACTTATCTAGCTCAGATTTTGAATAAAGAGCAACTTTTCAATAAAATGGCAACCAAGAAGATTAATGTCGTCATAGCAAGTTTCTAGTGACATTTAGTAGCTATTTTCAAAATCGAAATTAGTTTATGGACTTTATTTAAATATATACCAGTTTACTTTTATTTAACTTACTTATAATAGTTTAATAAATAATATTTATTAAATATGTATTTATTATTATTCTATCAAGAAAAACGAAACAGTAGTTCACTGATTTATTTTAAAATGGCATGTAGCTATATGGATTTTCTATAAAAGAGCCAATTGCGGCAAATTCATTTTCTTCACTTCCAACGACAGGTTTCTGCCTAATAGGTTTTTTTTATAAACCACACTACCATAGCTCTGCGAAATAGAACAAGTATTTTTTCAAAGAAATGTTTATCAAGAAGATTCCACTACAAGTGAGTTTAATTGTCAAAATATGCGACTTCAAGGTTGCTATAAAATAATATAAAAAAGGTTTGGACACGTTCTTCAAAGAGGCCCACGCTTACTGTCGCTTTTGTTATATAGTAGGTATACAGGGTGTCCCAGGCTGAGAGTGCATTAGAAGTTTCTAGAGAACCGCAATATCTTGATCGGAGATTTTTTGCACATCATTGTTTTACAACGAGATCTATCGATTAAAAATATGTTCAATATGGCGGCACTTCCGGAAATACCGGAAGTTGACAGCGACTTTCTTATTATAAATGGGTGCCCCCATTTTTTATTACATATTTAAATTCTCTGTAAAATTCTATAAATATTGATACTAAACACTCTATACCTAAAATTAACCGTTTTTGAGAAAAAAAAATATTTAAAATTTTTGGACGAAAAAAACTACCTGTCAAAAAAATTTGTATAGCTTAAAAGTCAAATTTAGTGATTACCACAGCCACTGTGATAAATAAAGAGAAGACATGTGGCTATCTATTTCAAAAATTAAATTGTTCAAATGTCATATAATAATGGCAGCAATTGTCTTGGATTTCCTATATTATAAATACTGCCTGCCCCCTTAAGAGTTTAAAAAGTGTATTTATAAAAATATATCTCGTATTTTCGCTCTTTAGTGATATCTAATAGCATAGTTGATATTATTAATAAAATACCGTATGATCGAAAAAAAAAAACAGCGCAAAGTTGGCTTGGAAATAATGATTGATAACATACTGCTTTTTGAACAAATGACACAATATGACATGGTCAGATCTATTGCTTTACATCACTTGACGTTTAAAGTCATAGGCTACTGGTTAAAATTAAGAAAAATATACGCTTTAGAACTAAATCTTAAATAACTTAAAAACAATTTATTTTAGGTATAGGAAGATGTACAGTCAAAAAGTAACGAATTGAAAAACCTTTTCACTAGTGAAATAAAAAAAGCGTGTTTCGATTTGAAAAAAATGATTTATGATCATTTTTTAATCGCTCAATTCCATGACAGCTGCTGTCATTATTATATGACATTCAAACAATTTTATTTTTGATATAGATAGCCACATGTCTTCTCTTTATGGCACAATGGCTGTGGTAATCACTAAATTTGACGTTTAAGCTATACACATATTTTTGACAGGCAGTTTTTTTCGTCAAAAAATTTTAAATAATTTTTTTCTTAAAAACGGTTAATGTTAGGTATAGAGTGTTTAATATCAAAATTCATAAAATTTTACAGAGAATTTAAATATGTAATAAAAAATGGGGACACCCATTTAAAATAAGAAAGTTGCTGTCAACTTCCGGTATTTTTCTTAGTAATATTTTATATAATTCCTTTATATAACTCAGTCATGGTGAATACTTACTTGGAACCTTGCTGACTCTCTATACTCCATTCGTCTTCTCTTCCATAGCCATTGCCGCTACTGACTAGAGACGATTTCTCACCAGGAGAGTGGTAGTTTTCACCGCCTACTTGGCCATAACCTCCCGAATGATAATCAGAACCGCTATTGGTGCCGCTCACTTCTTTCCAGCCTTTTCGACCTAACTCACCCATCTAGCAAACAACATATTAGCTAATACAGTATGATCAAGGAAAAAAAAACGGCGTCAAGTTGGCTTGCAAATGACGACCGATGATTTCACCATATAATTTTATATACAAAATATCGGCGATCTTTATTTCTGAGCCAACTATGACAACGTTATTTTTATCGTAAATTAATTTAGGAACAGTAGTCTGAAGAATACCGGGTGCGTCTCAAAAGTGGCACACCCCTATAACTTTTTTATTTTTACAGATAAAAAATCGAGATTTGGTATGTTAGTACATGACATAACTTAAGACTGATTGACGTATTCAATTGTTTTCGGTCATTTCCTGTTTCACAGGAAATTACTACGATTTTTAAATGGCACCCTCAGTATTTCATTACTTTATTAGGTAGAAAATGACACTCTGAAAGAATGACATATCATATGTCAACTTTTGACATTTTCGATTACGATTTGTTTGAAATTGCAACATTCGTAAAAAAATATTTTTCCAAATATGCTAATGAGCCACCCTTGTTCCATTTGAAAAAATTGTGATATGAATAACTACACAATTTAGGCATCTTTTAACTGGCCAGAACAAGACACAAAACATATTAAATGATCAAATCTATTTTTACAAGGCTCCTTGATTAAAAATGACTGGTTTTAACACATCCATGGAATTCCAGATTGAAATTTAAAATACAATTTTTAAGCGAAAATGTCAAAAATTGACATATGATACGTCATTCTACACAGAGTGTCATTTTCGATCAAACAAAGTAAAAAAATACCGAGGGTTTCATTTCCGAGGGTTAAACAAGAACTGGCCGAAAAGAATTGAATACGTCAATCAATCTTAATTTATGTCATATACTAACATACCAAATCTCGTTCTTTATCTGTAAAAATAAAAAAGTTATTGAGGTGAGCCACTTTTGAGACGCACCCGGTATATATAACATTTTTGAGAAAATTTTAATTAAATAATTGTAACTTTTGAGTATATAAACTGGTCAGTACATTGTTAGAGAAAAATAAATGGATTAAATTTTATATAAACTCACAACAAAATGATCAAAGGAAAAGATACACAGGGTGTAAATAAATAAGCACGAAATAATTCTGGAGGTAATACCTTTTTTAAAAATAACGAATCCAGGTCTATAACCTTGTTATAGGTATAGGGTGAACCAAAATTCCTATATTAATTAATTATCTACATTTTTCAAAAATGTTTACACTAAAAAGTTTAAATTAGTAGTGCAGAGAGCACAATTTGCAGTGTTTTATTATTTTTATATAGCTACACTAATTTCGAAATTAAAACATTCTAGCCTAACACAACAGCAAAATTTAGACTACTCTCTTGTCTCTACACTTTTTTTTTATTACATAGAGCTGTTAAGAAAGAAAAAAACAAAATGTAATATTAGGAATCCCATTAGAAAAAATATTAAATGCAGATTCCTGCCAAATTAATAGTCATTAGGTTATTTAGGTTAATGATTTGTTAGTAAGCGCGGTATTATTTTTTATATCACTATTTTTTATGAACTTCCAGGTGCCTGAAATTGCATTCCCTGTATGTTCATTCAATTGTAGATATTTTTGTTGCAAATTTTTTTTAAATTAACTCAAAAATGTAACACTATAGTTTTTTTCTTAATGTTAGTTGATAATAAATATCTTAACCTTTATATTTATTTAACCTTATATCTTTCACTTTATATTTATACTAGGTGTTATTTTTTTTTTTTTAAGATTACATATAGATTTGTTATATTTTGCATTGTACTTTTATGGTTGATTTGTGCTTATGTTAGCTTCATTTATTATGAATGTTCTGAATTTTAGTGTACACAATTGTCTTTAATTTGGGATTTCCTGTTAGACAATAAACTATTATTTATTTATTTATTTATTTATTTATTTATTTAACAATATGCAACTAACAATTAATATGACAATTAGCATGTATTGTAATATTGATATGCTATAGTCTATTTAATAACACTGTTGCTTTGTTTATACATACATTTGATCCTCTATAATTGTTAGCCACACATACAATATATGTATTTAAACAATAGCATATAAAAATATCTTATATATTAAGTATATATTTTACCTTGTGTGACAAATTGGTTACTTGACTACTAACATCTTCAATCAGTGTACCTTGTTTAACCTAATTTGAAGAAAGTAAAATAAAAGAATAAAGCAAATAAAACTTAAAAGAAAAATGCAAAATAAAATAAATTAACGATATTAAACTGAAATAAACCAAAATTGAAATAAAACAAACCTTTTCGCCTACTTGTGAGCTAATATCAACTACCTTCTGGGTGGCTAATCCTCCATATTTGACTGCATTTTCTGTTGCTTTGCTAGCTATTTTTGTTGCCGACGAAGACAGAAACGACCAGCCCTATACAATACACAAATTAATTGCCAAACTAGGAATTATTTGGTTTAAAAAACTATTTACACTTGCTAAAGATGATAAAGCTGTATCGACAAATTCTTGAGACTGGCTTCTAGGTGGGGCTTCTTGTGTATAACCAAATCCACTATATTTTCCACCTTGAGATGGGGGCACATCACTGGAAAATACATGGTAAGTGTAATTTTGGTAAGTGTAATTTCTGGCAAGTGTAATTTCTTGATCAGCACTTACTCTCTTTTAGTGGCATTTTCAAACTGTTTCCTAGCAAAAAATGCTTCTTTTTCGTCTTTAAATGCTGGTGTATTATAATTTTGATATCCACCTTGGTAGGTATCAGAATTATTATATGACTGGTATGAAGAAGAGTTGTAGTTTTTACTCGAGTGTGACTGTGATTGAGTAGGCGATATATATCCACTCGTATAATTTTGAGCTGGAGACTTCTTCTCATCCCAGGATTTGCCTTGTGCTAGAGTAGAAATCTAAATTTTTTTATAATTAGTACAGGATATTTATATAGAAAAAAATATATACCTTGTCCCTATATAATGCAGCAGCTCTAGTATTATATTTTTGTTGGATGGACATTGAATCATCATAGTCTGGTTGAGCTTCAAAAAAAATCCTTGCATTCCTATTACCCCCTACCTAAAATAAAAAATCACTCAGTATCATTCTTCATCACTTCTACTTAAATTTGAAAATACCTTCATTTTTTCTAATTCTACATCTTTCCATTTATCCATTGTAACAGATCTAACAAACGAGAGGTGTACACCAAGACCTCTGTGTTTACCTGAACATTCCAGACATATCCATATTCCATATGTAACAGATACCCATTGAGGATTATGAGTACCACATTCAAAGCATTTCTAATTAAAGAAAGAAAATATTTAAGTAAAAAAGCATTGATTTGTTTATTCTATATAAATTTAAACAATAATTAAAAATCACTTTACAATAACATATGTAATGGATCCCCTTATACTCGAGTACATATGTTATCTTTATATGGTATTAATTAAACAGAGAAACGAAAGCAATTCTAACATAAAGTAAACTGTATTTTGCTAAATACTTTTAAGACATGTTAAGCTGATACTATTAATAAATATTTGCTTACATCGTTTTCGTTATTAGGTTTTAATTCTTGTAAGACACGTCTGGTTCGTGGACTAGCCATTTTTCACGTAATTAAGACACAGAAACGTAGTCTGTTATTAATTTAAGGTGATTTAGAAACACTACTTCATTTAAAAGAAAGTATTTAATTGAAATTAAACATTTTCAACTATTTTCAGAAATTCTGAAGAGAAAGTTGAGATAAAATCTTTTGACGTGGAAGATCAACTGAACTGACAACTGACAGTACTGACACACACTGACACTTCTGATTTGACAGGAATGTAAGATAAGTATTTCTATCTTCACCTTTGTTCTGTGGCATTTTAAAGATACTAATACGAATTATATGATTATGACACGTGCTATTATTCCCTATAAGTATTATCATATAGTTTGATATAGTCATATAAATGATTTACGCCATAATATATAAAAGTAGAAGAGTCATGCAGTAACCAATATTTTGTTGTCTGAATAATGAATGACTGCAGGAAGGTGTATTTAGTGTATTATTATTTTTAACTCCGCATTTTTAACATAATAAATTAATATATACTAAAATGAGTACCGGAACACAAAAAGGAAATGTACTTTTATATAAAGGTTCAAACTACCTTAAGCAACGCTTGGTTCTATCAGTTTTAAGTGGAAAACCGGTGAGGATATGTGATATTAGAGTTCGTGATGATATACCAGGATTAAGAGAATTTGAAGTTAGTTTGATTCGATTGCTGGATAAAATTACTAATGGAACGTTAGTTGAATTAAACGAGGCAGGAACCAGTTTGTATTTTCAACCAGGACTTTTACATGGGGGAAAGATTGAGCACAGTTGTTCAGTTCAAAGAGGAATAGGTATAGTGAACCATTGTTTAAGTGATTACAAAAACTATTACCAATTTTCTTTTAGGGTATTATTTAGAAGCTCTTATTATGTTGGGTTTCTTTTGTAAGCAGCCCTTACATGCAGTTTTACAAGGTGTTACTAGTAATAATATTGATCCATCCGTTGATCTTATTAAGTCTTCCATGTTACAAGTTCAAAGGAAATTTATTTTTGATGATGAAGGTTTGGATTTGAAGATATGTAAGAGAGGTGAATTGAATGACTAGTTGGTTTGTCTCTAAATAATTATAATTAAAATTATTGTTTTAGGAATGCTTCCTATGGGAGGTGGTGAAGTTATTTTTAAGTGTCCTATAAGAACTAAGTTAAAGCCTGTTCAACTATTGGACAGTGGTATGGTAAAAAGAATAAGAGGTACGTATTTAAAAAAAACATTAATTTTAAAATGAATAAGAAATGGTAAGTCATAAATGAAGATTTTTATATTTTTAGGGACTGCATATGCTTTGAGAGTATCACCTGCTATGGCCAATAGAATGGTAGAGAAAGCAAAAGGTGTATTACTTAACTTTATTCCAGATATTTATATAAGTACAGACCAATGTAAAGGAAAGAATGCTGGTAAAAGTCCAGGCTTTGGTGTGCATATTTATGCTGAAACTACCACTGGAAATATATATTCTTCGGAACAGGTACCTACATACATCATTTTCATGATTTTTTTTATCATTCTAATTGTTTTAGGTTTCTAATGTAGTTTCGAATGGTGAAGAACCATCAATACCAGAAGATTTGGGTATAGCAGCTGCTCAAAGACTTCTCTACGAAATTTATTTAGGAGGTATAACCGACTCCTCATGCCAAGCTTTAGCAGTTTTATATATCGCCCTAGGACAAAAGGATGTTTCAAAAATAGTTATTGGGCCACTCACTGATTATACAATAGGATTCTTGAGAAATTTGCGAGAATTTTTCGGTATTACTTTTAAAATTGAACATTTTGAGAATGATGACGATCGAGAAGGAACAGGCGGTAGAAAAGTTTTATTAACATGTGTAGGAATAGGATATTCTAATATAAGTAAAAGAACTATTTAATACATTTGTTAATTCAAAAGAAATTTTATTTTTAAGTTTTTCTCTTGACAACGGTTTGACTTTGCATTTTTTCAAGGAACAATTTTTGACCACTTTGATATTTAAAGCTTTTGCTAAAAAGTTAAATCATTAGTTTAATTATTCCCATGAAAATTACTCATCATAGACTTATTTTGTGAAATAGCATATCTCTATCTTTATGATAAAGATGTAAAAAAGAAGGCTTCTTAAAAGGAAAATGAAAGGGACGAAAGAATAAATTAAATAATCAAGTAACAATCAACTGTGCCATGCAATGTGCATCGTACATGAGCGATGTGCGCGGATGTGCGATCCATAATCCATGTGAAATCAACAACAAATAAGCATGTCATATTTTTATATGATATCTCTACCGTTGTACTGGTTGCTACTGCCAGAGTTTTTAGTTTTTTTATTGTTGCTACCTTTGAATAAGAAGACTAAGGAAGGAGCATATCAAAAATCTTAGGTACACCGCGATGGGCTTCAAATATGGCCGACTTAAATTCCGGTTTATCAGTGTCGTTCTAATTTTATTTAAAAAATGTAAAACTATGATGTAGGGTAGACGTGGGGTAGACCAATAATTTGTTGTTTTATTTTACGTTGTGAATAAATGCTGGTAGTTATTAAAATTGTTATAAAAATATAAAATTCTAATAAAAATAGATAAGTTATAATAATTATTTATTAACACAAACATCCGATACACTACTGAACCAGGTAAGTCAAATTGACATATCTAAATTCATTCACATCTAATCTTTGACAAGTAGTAAATAAAAGCAAAAATGCAAGAAAAAATATATAATTATTAGTTAATTTAAGTGAATTTCATAAATGATCGGTTTACTACACGTATGTATATTATATAGTCACTTACTAGCGAAAAGTTGTTCCATTATTTCACTCGATTTTTGACCAAGATCTACCGCACGCTACACAACCAACTATTTTACAGTCTTTTTCGATAAATCGCAATAGTGTCACTGTTAATTTAAGTTCTGCCACAATTTCCATCTAGATTTACTACCTTTATACAACTATCAGTAGTAGAATAAATAATAAATAACATAAAATAAGCTCCGTAAAGACTGACAAATCCACAAAATTTCAAATCAAATTCAAATGTGTCAAATGAATCGTCAAACAGAACTGTCAAGGATCCCCACCCTAGAGAGCTTTTATGGTGGCTTTTCCGCCCACCATGCATGAATCAGTGCCTTCTATTAAAAGATCAGCCTACGGGCGGACTTTTGTTTACTTCATCAGCTGTACATACTTAGATATTGGGTTAGATTCCGTTTCATATTTTGTCGGTTGATTTTTGGTTTTAACTCTTTGATTTTTGGTATTATTTATTATTGTAGTGCAAAAAACTAATTATTTTGGTGTTAGTGACATAAACTACTACCAGATATATGGTCACTCTCGGTTTCGCATAAAAAATAGAAATTTTAAAAATTACACGTTGTGTAAGTGATTTAACCTAAAAGTGCCCATACATTTTTTACTTATCGTGATTTTTGTGTGTTTTTTAAGACTCTAACAATTCATCAATAAAGCTTAAGTGGGTGTGTTTTTTGGTGCTATGCCTCATCTTTGTTGTGTTCCTGGTGGAAAGGATAGTTACTAAGGATGGTTATTATACTAGGCAGCCTAAAGTGTCGGAAAGAGCAAGAAAAGTGGGTACGAGTTATAAATCAAAGAATTTTTATTGAAAATATCTTTAATAAATTTAAAAATAATATTCTCCCCATGATGGGATTAATGAAAACTGGACAATTATGTTTATTTTATTCATATTGTGGAATCTCCACTCCAAGTGTTGTTGGTTCAGCTTCGATAGATTCAAACACGTAAGTAGGTATTATGATCTAGGGAAAAATAAAGAATAAGTATATTAAAGATCATGAAAAAGATTATTATTTTGAGTTCAAATTTTAAAAAAGATTTTTGTAAAGACAAGACTGATACAGTTTAAAAGAAGAATGTGTTTTTGTTTGATAATATATAATGTATGTCAAGCATAACATATATTTGTGCAGTAATTTTTAATGAATAGAGTTGATTATTTATAATACCAAATTAATATCAAATATTTAAGTGATGGCTGAATACAATATGAATAAAATAACAATAAAATTGGTATATTTGCATAATACAAAATTAAGTTTTAAGAATAAAGGTGTTACTAAAAATACCAAGAAATTAATATTTCTTTGTTTTAATTGGTCTAATGTTATTTACATTTTATGTAAGAATTATACCGTATCATCGAAAAAAATCGGCGTCTAGTTGGCTTGGACATGAACATCGATGACATTCCCTAAATAACTGTACACATAAAATAATTAACTAGAATTTTACAATCTTGGAAAATTTGATATTCTTGAACCTTGTTTCTAAATATTCTAAATTTTTTGATTTTCTTGGGATTTAGGTTCGGGAAAAACGATGATTAAGTTTTCATTTGGTTTTTCATTATTTTTATTTGGTTTAAAAAAAACGTTTCGGCTAACATTATAGCCTTCATCAGTGTTGTGTCATATGAAAAAAATAGTGTCGAATATAATCCAAAAATTGCATATAAAATATTCACACCACGCACATAATGTTTACTGCGTACTCCATAGTCAATGTAGATAATTTTAGTGTTAAGAATAATAATTTTTAAAAAATATGTGGTCATCTTTTGATAAGTTTATATTAGTTTATTAATTGCAGTAAACATTATGAGGTGTGAATTATATTGTATATGTAATTTTTTGGATTATATTCGACACGATTTTCTCATATGACACAACACTAATGAAAACTATAGTTAGCCGAAACGTTTTTAAACCAAATAAAAATAATGAAAACCCAAATGAAAACTTTCATCAACGTTTTTCCCGAACCTATCTAAGAAAATCAAAAATTTTATAATTTAACATATAAAATGCCAGCGATCTTCATTTCATAGCCATCGCTGACGCCTTTTTTTAGATAATATTGTATTATTTGTAAATATAATTTTTCGAACATTGATACTTGCAAAATATACATATAAATTTTGTGAATGCAAATAATAATACATCACTATTAGTAGATATTAAATGTTTTTGTTAAATTAGATCGATTTTCAAACCCCAAAATTTAAAATATATTTACATTTTACCCATTATCTTATGTACCTATACATTATTTGTACATTGTAAAACATTTGCTGCATTTGTATGGTTCATAGTTTATTTGCCAAAGTATTTATTACTATAAATAGGTATATATGTTGTAGTTATTAACTGTATATTATGTATATTTCATTTAAACTATATCATTTTTAAAATACAAACCAAAAATCTGAGGAATAATTATGTTTTCCATGTATTCTACAATATATTTATTAATCCGTTATATCTAACTAGCGTGACGTCATAAATCTCGCCCGCAGGCTGATCTTTTAATAGAAGGCACTGCATGAATACATGGATAGCATTATGCAGTGCCTTCTATTAAAAGATCGGCCGGGCGCAGGCTTGGACATCACGCTACGCAACGGATTAATTGTAGAATACATGGAAAAACTGCCTCAGTATTCAGGTGGCCAGACTGCTGACCACCAAAATGATGATAGTTAAATGATGAACACATACATAACTACGGTTAATAACAACACTGTTGTTGTAATAATACTCTGCGGCAAAATAAACTTATGAACCAATAAACGGCTGAAATACAATGCACAAATAATGTGGTATGAGTACATAGATAAGTGAATCCTTGTTTTATATTTTGAATTTCGATTTAATCGATAGTAACAAAAACGACTAATATCTTGTAGTGATATTGCATTCAAAACTTCTAACTGTAAGCAATGTTCGAAAATGTTCAATATGACCCCAATCAATATAATGTATTATCTAAAAAGGCGTCAGCAGCTGTAATGGCATTACCTGAGCATGGTATTCTAAAATTTTTGATTTTCTTGGGATTTTAGGATTCAAGGGAAAAACGCTGATTAAAGTTTTCATTTTGGGTTTTCATTATTTTTATTTGGTTTAAAAAAAACGTTTCGGCTAACTATAGCCTTCACAGTGTTGTGTCATATGAGAAAAATAGTGTCAAATATAATCCAAAAAATTACATATACAATATAATTCACACCTCATAATGTTTACTGCAATTAATAAACTAATATAAACTTATCAAAAGATGACCACATATTTTTAAAATTATTATTCTTAACACTAAAATTATCTACATTGACTATGGAGTACGCAGTAAACATTATGTGCGTGGTGTGAATATTTTTATATGCAATTTTTGGATTATATTCGACACTATTTTTTCATATGACACAACACTGATGGGGGCTATAATGTTAGCCGAACCGTTTTTAAACCAAATAAAAATAATGAAAAACCAAATGAAAAATCAATCAGCGTTTTCCCGAAATCCTAAATTCAAAGCAAAAAATTTAGAATATTTAGAATCAAGGTTCCAGATATATCAAATTTTCCAAGATTGTAAAATTCTAGTTAATTGTTTTATTGTACAGTTATTTGGGACCATGTCATCGATGTTCATTTCAAAGCCAACTAGACGCCGATTTTTTCGATGATACGGTATAATTCTTACGTAAAATGTAAATAACATTAGACCAATTAAAACAAAGAAATATTGATTTCTTAGTATTTTTTAGTAATACCTTTTATTCTTAAAACTTAATTTTGTATTATGCAAAATATACCAATTTTATTGTTATTTTATTCATATTGTATTCAGCCATCACTTAAATATTTGATATTAATTTGGTATTATAAATAATCAATACTAAATAATCAATACTATTCATTTCAAAATTACTGAACAAATATATGTTATACTTAACATACATTATATATTATCAAACAAGAAACACATTCTCCTTTTAAACTGTATCAGTCTTGTCTTTACAAAAATCTTTTTAAAAAAGAACGTGAACTCAAAATAATATAATCTTTTTCATGATCTCTAATAC